AGTACCCAACTCAGCAAATCAGCTCACAGAAATATATTCTACCTCCTAATAAAATAAAAGGAAAAAGCGTTAAGTGTGATCCACGTAGTAGGAAACCCTCTGCACACAAATCTACACTTCTCCTCGAACTTACGTCCTCGCGTATAGAAACAGCCTGTAGAGCACCTAGTAAAAAGTTTTCAGGTATTGGATACGTTTTACCAAGCGATAAAGTCATTTGAGTAAATGATCCCCTGTCCAGTATCAATAACACACTTTACAACCGTCGACGTGCCGTAGTAGAACAGTAAAAATTTCAGTAGTCCAGCCTCTCCGCGCGATAGTTTCCATAGAACAGCTACTATTGTTGCCATGAACAAATACGTAGCGGTTTTCGACATTCCACCAGCGGTAAGCAGAGGAAGAAAAGAGAAAAGGTGGGAAGGAAAAGGTCGAACGTGCGCAATCAGGTTCCTTTCTTCTTCACGCCACCTTCATTACTGTGTTCGTCCCTCGAGGTTTACGGTCAGAGTATCTGTCCCTGTTACCCAGGTCGGACACCATGACCCTTTCTTCTGCCGGGGAATACACGGCATCTCCTTTTCCCCGAGCATCCACGAACGTGTTCTTTCCCTGTAGAATCGTCTTACATAATACCATGTAACGACTTTCATTAACTCACGTCACGATACGCGTTCGCTGTACAAGCAGTCTATAGATACGAGCGTAAATAAATACGGGCAATTATTTCTGATTAATTATCCGACGTTCGTTAGCCAGCGATAATTCAAACGTTTCGCGCTCGAAAAGCTCTCTTTACCGTCCACGATTTTATTAGCGAGAGCTGATAACTTTTTTTTTTTCGTTGCTGATGAAAGTTACCTTATTTCTTGATATTGATTTAATAATTAATATTTGAAATAATCGACCCGAATTTTCCTTGAAATTTTTAAAGGTAGTTTTTCTCCTATCTAACAATCAGCACATGAAATAGTTCTCTAATCACGAAAGACATTCTGCCGGGTAGCATTTGTGCACTTTCTTGTCGTGTCTGTCTCGCCTATCGATTGTGTCCATAGAAACAAAGGTGTATTGTATGTAATAAAGTAACGCAATAATGACATAATCGGTTGCAAGTAGAATATACATTCTCCATTCTTTGTCACCTTTTACTTTTACCATTGTACCTGCAAAATATTCTGTTGTATGTAATAGTTGTTAGGTAATAATTGTTTCTCAACCCTGTCTTGCACTCACAATATCTCTAATAAGTATGACAATTATCCACCAATTAAAAAACCTACTTATTTTAATACACGATAAAGAGGTTTGTTATATATTCATCTCCTGATTGTCCATTTTGGGTTACCTTGAAATCACCGACAAAAGTTTCATCCGCACTATTTCACCGACACAAAAATACTGTGGTGAATAATAAAATTATGACACACTTACACTGTTACTTTATTAATCAATATAAGCTGCGTACATCGGTAACTAAAAATTTCAATAATTAAAACATCGAGAGAAACGTTTGTCGGTGACTTTAACCTTTGAACTGCGGCTGCCGGGTCACAACTGACCCGAGCTTTAGATGTCTCCTGTTCCAACCTTCTCCTCTCCTTATATTATAAATATTCAATCATAATGTACTTGCCTAATTTTAAAATGAAAAAAAAAAAAAGATTTCGCCTGCGTACGATGAAGATTTTTCATATTTGACCCAGCATCTGCCATTCGCTGTTGAACGGTTAACGTGTCGGTGAAGTAACGCGAATGAAGACATTATATTTCAAGGCAACCCGTCCAATTTACATCACCAATGTCAATTTTACACAATCTCCTCAAACTATTTCTCGATGATAGCCAGGTAAATCTATTCGACCCTGACTAACCGACGTGTAACTGCGGCAACAAAGAAGAGGTAGCATAGAAATACCTAATAGTCCACGGTGCGTCTACCACAACTATAATAATCCGATAATACGTCCCCACCTCGGATTCAGCTACGTTTTCAATACCATCGACAAAACACTCTGACCGCACGAACACCAACGACGCGGCGTGCGCGCGCGCGAGAAAGAGGAGAGATCTCTATCCCGGTCGTAAATTCGAGACGTTCAAAATTCCGTGGCAAGGAAAGCCGTGACGGGCGCGCACAGTAACCCAGGTCGTCGTCGTTTCTTCACTGCGCCCTCATTATTGGTGTTCGTCCTTCGAGCTTTACGATCACGGTATTCGTCCCTGTCCCTCAGATTGGTCACGATGAGGCCCGGTACGTTCGTTTCCACTCGTACATCCCTGAATATCGACTCGAGAAGACCGCCCGTCGACTCCCGCAGCTGGCTCTCTCGGGCAAGCGGAGCTCGCCTCTCCTCGGTCCTGTCCTACTATGGACGAGCCTGTAACGTTCGAGGGAGCTCGCGTACGGTTGAGAACCGTCTTGATAGCGGGCAACACGGGTGGTCTCCGGAGGCCGCGCCGTGGCGGAACGAGCAAATACGCCGTCGGCATTTTTGACGGTGAAATCCGACTAGGTGGGGTCCCGACGTACCCCGTGTCAGACGTCATTCTCGTGCCCTTCCCGCGTTGCTTTCCGATGAATACGCGTATCCTTTGGTTCTCGCGCTTCACGTGAAACACCCTCCTTTTGGCCTGCGTCTTCTTCGGTGGTGTTGCTCATGAAATTTGTAGCTTGGAACTTTTCTAAGCTGAAGGTTTATCAATGTAATGTTCGATTTTTAGTTAGGGAGTGCGGTTGTTAACACTTTGCCAACCAGTGTGATAGATCTACCATTTTCTATAGTACTCCGAATGATATTTCTTTCTCATATGCTATTTGAAAGAATTTTCTTCCATAATGTTGTTGATATTGGCCTAGCTATTCTTCGGTGGCGTTGCTGCTGAAATTGTAGCTTTGAAATTTTCTAAGATGAAAGTATGTGAATGTAATGTTCGTGGATCGATCATTTTGGAATATGTCCGATTTTTAGTTAGGGAGTGCGTTTGTTAACACTTTGCCAACCAATGTGGTAGATGTACCATTTACTCCGAATGATATTTCATTCTCATATGCTATTTGAAAGAATTTTGTTCCATAGTATTGTTGATGTAATGAACCATCGCTCGATCTTCCAAACACAGGACTCTTTATCCAGGTTTCTAGACTGTATTTTAGCAATCTTAGACATCTGTTCAGTTTGGTTGGTAATATGTTGAGACAGTTTTTGTATGGAGATCTGTTTGTTACTTTGTCTGTTGGTATTCAAGAGTGTTATTTAGGGGGGAAAGTGAACTGAAGCGTTTGCATGAGAAAGATGAAACGTAGATAGCAGGCTAGGAAGAATATAATGTAGTTTTAATTCATGTAGAATTATAATCAAGTTATATATTACTATTTTTGAAATGTTGATGGAAGAGGAGAGGAGGTATCGTGAATGATGCCTGCAGTGAATTGTTTTGTAGCAGCTTCGTTCCGAGTAATTTATAGAGCGAACGTCATTAGAAAATATAGGTTGAAGTATTCACTTAGTATATTTGATTAATTATTGTAACGACTATCAATCTTGTTGCACAACATGTTTTTATAACTTGTTACAAGATTGTACCTTTTGTTATTGTAGTAACACGTCTGTAACAAGTTTGTATACACAATTTCGCATCTCGTTAGTAATGGCCTCCTACAGTAGATGACAAATATTTCATAATTTTCTTTGATCTTTACCGGCACTTTGATGGATAACACGAAAAATTTTATATAACATTTTCCTTTCCTTTTTTCTAACAAGTTTTATAATTTTCATAAAGGCATCAATAAAAGACAAATTATTAGGTCTATGCAAAAGTTCCCATCGCTTGTAAATCAAAGTGACACTAAAAGGCACTCTATGTTTCTTTTCTTTTCTAAATTTTCACAGTTGCTATTTATGACAGTAAGTACATATTTCTTCGAGACGAAGTTTTATTTTTACTGGAGAAAGTTTTAAACATTTATAGATGTGCTGGATTAGTAGAAACTTCGATAAGTAGGACTCCAGATTTTTCGAAAACTTGAAACACTAAAAGGACAGACTACTCGGTTTGCCTACGAAGGGTTGATATTGTTATTACTATTATTTCAATAACTAAAAAATCGTAGAAAATTTTGCATAGACCTAATACTCCACCGAAACTAAAAATCCAAGCACTGCTCCCTGTATCTACAAGAAACGAACAAATTACCCATGTGTAATTGATCAATCCGAACAATTAGCATCCAACATTCTATTACAATTGACACGTTTAAACGATTTAAACGGTGAAGATTTCTAATGACTCGTTCAGACAAGATTGATGGGGCTGTCGCGTTCGTGACGGGTAAGGGCGACGATTTCGACCCATAGCAGAGCTATTTCCACGTCTTCTTCTCGGAACGCTTTCATTGGTACCCTGCCAGAAATTTTTCCCGGTATATGTCCGTAAAGCCATAGAAACGTGTGTTACGACACCGGGCCGCTCTCGATGTTTCTCTTCGAGGAATCGTCCCGAGCATAAACATTACCAGGCCGCCGAAAGCTTAAAGTGGCACGAGTCGCGAATAAAGCAACTGGCCAATCCCCGATGTAGGAGCTCGTGCCTTTTGCTTCATCGCCCGGACGGTTCCAGTCCGTTGAAAGGGTCCAGGTAGTAGTGCGTTTCCCCTTTGAAGAAAGACAACTGCGTTCCAAACCTGTATTTTAGAAGCGGCGTCCTTTGTCGAATTACGAGAAATTACCAGAAACCACCGGTAACAAACGCGGAAACTTGCAGAAAAAAAAGAAAAAAGAAAAGAAAAGGTACTGAACGGAAAAGGAGAAAAAATAAGCATTGTACATCTCTTTTTTTTTTTTTTTTAAATTACACGTAAAACAGAGTAGAAAATTGTAACGGTAAAAATTTCGATTACCGTACTATGTCGCCGGATGAGAAATTCTTTCACCGAAACTCACGCGTCGTGGTTCTTCTTTTTTTTTTTTTCTCTCCCCCTTTCTTTTTGATCGTAGAAGGCGGAAGGTTGCAAAAAGAGCTGACCTACGCCTCGGAAGCACTGGGTGAAGCAGCCGCCGCGACACATCAGCTCGTGATCCAAACGCCGAGGCATTCCGGGGCGAATATTTTGCACCCTGCCGCACTCAAGGAACATTTAGCGATCCTGAAGGCGGCGACGCAGGTCACCGTACACCTGTTCGAAATGTAAGCTTGCTTTTTTTTTTCTTTTTTTTTCTTTCGCTTCTTCATTCTTTTACACTGTTTGCGGGATGTGTGAAACGTCTACGAGAGTTTGGCGGGAAAGAGGTACCGTTTCCATTTTTTCAGTCTGTTGTGCAAAAATTTGCTCTGAACACTTACGTCTGCGTAGGAAAAAGGAAGAGTTAAGGTTGCTGTCGTTTACGTAGAACTGTGATGATATAAATTCATTGTGAACTATTCTCGTGACCGCGGAGGAAGGAGATCGGCTGTTGAAATGATGTTTCTGTTCTTATCGCGATGTACTGGGTGGGCCACGTGAAACGGGCCACCTAAGTGTCTTCTCTAACTATGACGATACGAGACAATTTTTGTATGCAGTTTAAATGGTTTTAGAATAAGATGGAAGACAAATCTTTTTATAAATGCAATTTTTGTTTTTTCCTTTCACGGTTACCTATGCTTCTTTTTTTTTTTTTTTTGCTGTCTGTTGTAGCAGATCTTGGACTCTAGAATTTCAAATCAAATGCGAAATTCCCTTTCATTTTTCGCCGTTTCTTCCATCAGTGAAAATGTTCCTCAGCCTCATTCATCATTTGAAACCACTTAAATTACGTGTACAAATTTCGGTGGCCTGTTTCACGTGGCCCACCCTCTATGTTGAAATCTATTTGATTCTCGTTAAAAACGGAAACACTGCCTAGGGAAGACCCAAGAGCTCCGCTTATTCGATTGCAAATAATTATTCCAATCTTTATCCTTCGCTATTAACATAATTCGTTAACAAAGAGTTCAATGGATCGTGACTGTATGATTTGTTCGCACAGCCTCTGTAAATTCTCAATTTAATCGTTAAAAAATAGAGTAGTACGAATAATTTCATTCACAGATTACCAATTAAAAGTAAATACTAAAAGTCACATTGAACGGTATGGAAATTTGGCTCCATCGAGTCTAATACAGTATAGAAAGCATTCGATCGAAAATAAACAAATAAATAAGGTTTCAGTAACGATGTGATGAAAAAGTAGACTTTAAACACGGTTCGCCTCTTTTGTGCAAACTTTGTAGACACCCTGTGAATGCCGTGGAGCGGCTTAGAGAAGCGATTGCCATCGTTTGAAGTTTTTCTCAAGAGCTCTCTCGAAGCCGCCATTATCGGCAGGACGGGGGTTAAAGGATGCAAAACTTGTATTCATGAATGCATGTGTTTCGTGTCGCTTGCAGCACGTGGAAGCTGAAAGACATGTGTTACGCGCTGAACATACCCAACTTCGACATGCACTACATCGACCAGGTAATTTAGAACTACCACTACTTAACGTACATGTAAATGATAGCCGGTCGTGTGAGTGTTCGCCGACTATTCACGTATTCGACGCGTGAAGTACGATATCGCGTTATTGTGCGCGCATTGTGACTTCTCGATTTCCATTAAGAAACCACGAAACTAGCGATGGCTACGAAGACATGTTGATCACGCCTCCGATACTTACCGCTGAATCTTTGCTTGTCTGGAATGGTGAAGTTCTCACTTACGCTTTCTTCGCGATTTTCGGCTGTTTCGTGTCAACGAGTTGGACGGAATTGAGATTGTACTTCGGAAACAGTGAAGGATTCTTTTAAGCGGCTTTTGGAAAATTTGAATGCCTTGCGAGGTAAATGTCGATCGTTTAATTAAGCGTATACTAATTAGTCCTTTATATTTTCCATTTTTAATCATTTTTCAAGTATCTAATTTTGGTGAACAATTGATAAATTGATCGTAATTCGATTGGTCACAATATGTCGAATTTGAACTGTAATAGTGAACAAGTAACATGAGATTCTTGATAAAATTTTTAATCTGAAAAAATAATCTAATTAAAGAGAATTACCTTTTCTAAGAACCTTAGATATTTGTTTATATCCTATCGTAAACAGACAGTACAGAATTATATAAAAAATAGTAACTTGCTTTCCAAGTTTCAAATAGTGGTGAAAAATTGATAAATTGATCGTACACGATAAGAGCCAAGTTATAACTTTTCGAATTTCACCTACATATAATAATGAATCCTTGATGAACAGATAACGCCAGACTTCTAAAGGATCAATTAACGTAGAAACTTTTAATCTGAAAAAATAATTCATATTACCATTTAATATTCGTTAATTACCGTTTAAATATCCGTTTGTGTCCTATCGCAAGTAAACAGTGTAGATTTACTTAAAAAAATATTAAATTGCTTTTCCAACAAAAGTGAGTGACATAAGTTGAATGGAAAGGAAAAATGTACTCTTTCTTGAAAGCTTCACATTTTCGTGCCATGAAAATCGAGCAAATCTGAGAATTCCCACAGTTTTGAAAGAGGCGCCATACAAAATCGTGCCCATCGCTAGGCATTGCACGTATACGCGTTGGTTCTCTTCGTTTGTTTCCCGATGTCCAGTCACCACGTCGTTCCTGAACAACTCACGTACGGTCGTAAACGTCGAAAATTGAATACGACGCTTGAAAAGCCGAACGGACGCTGGTTTGCACGTATAAGTCACGCGCTCGTATCCACACTCACGCGTGCTACATCGTTTCTTGCGCGCCGCTAACGAGCGGATGCGTTAAACGCGTTTCGAGAGACAGGAAAAGGGAAATGCACGAAGCTGCATAAGAGACGCCGCGTGTCGAAGTGCGTTTCCGACACGTTTCTCCGTACGCCGGCTTTCGATTCAATGCTCCAATTTTTTTTTTTATCCACCGTCGAAGAACGACCGATATTTTCATGCCGGTACGCTCCTTTCGCGGGACGTCGCAAACGATTCGGCGAGTTCGACGAATTTCAAATTGACGGCGAATGTTGACAATCTTTTTTCCCCTATTTTTCGACATTTTTCAACTTTAATTCTTCGTCTTGTAACAAGGAATCAGACTCTTAGCGCAGATTTTGATCAAGATGCGACAAAATTTTATTGAGAAGCATTAATCTTAATTCTAATTTACGTTTCAATTTGTAAGACTCAGAATTACCAAATAATCTACAAAAATAGGGACAAAAGTAGTTATGTTAGGAACAAAAATTCATTTTCGTTTTAATTTATAAAACTGAGGATTACCAGATGTATTTAGCTTTGCTTTCCTGACACAATAGTGAAATAGTAATTAGCTGACGCTTAGATGCATAGTTAGCAAAAAGAATCATAAATCAGGGGGTTAGAATGGTTTTTAGAAGGACTTTTGAAAGATTTTTGTTGAATTTTTTATAAAAGAAAAAGAATAGACAGATTATAAGAAGTAGAATAAAATTTACACTTCGTGGCTCGACTGTACAGAGGCCCGATACAGTGTCACATTTCGATGTCCAATACGATACTTGGCGCTCGAACGGTTAAATACGCAAGTTCTGCATTTCCTGCGATTATTATATCACTGTTGTTCAGCGTAGGGGCCCCTCACGCACTTCCTTCCCCCTCCAACGGTTCTTTCGCGCAGCGTGCTTCCGTCGTCATGGAAACCGCGCGACGCTAAGGAGGCGGCCATGACAGGCTAGCGTCTCCCGGTACCATGGCAACGGCGTGCAATGGTGGGAACGACGCACAGTGGGGCTATTTCACGAAAAGCTGGCAAAATTCAATTTTCGAAGTATATAGCAGCTTTTTGCTACTATAGCAAACTTGTTGCATATACATCAGTGCATCAAATGCCGCTTGAATTTTTTAAATATATTGATCGGTTACTGAGATACAGGCCGTCAAAGGTGACGAACTTTCATGCTCCTTGATAGATTGATAAAGTTTATCAGTAAAGAATTCATATGTAAAACATTTTACATGTGTAACGGGTGTCCTAATTTTCACATTTTTCATTCTACGAAAAAACAATGCCACGTGTTGTTTAAAAAGAATTCAAATAACCTCCAAACATTCATAATACCTCCACTAATTGTAAATGTACACTTACACTTACACGTTCGAGTCCCTTTAACACTTTTAAGCTACCGAAAGCAACTTTTCCAATTCAACGCATTCTTCGAAATATAAACGTTTATAGATTCAAATGGATCACCCTGTAGACTTTTATTGCACAAATTGAGGATTTGAGTCTGTACTATATATTCTACAGCGAGCAACGCCTAAAAGAAGGATCGAAGAACATTTTCTCAGAAACGAAATCTATGATGTAATTTCACGTTTTTTTATTTTTTTCTCGCGCTTAGAATCGCTACTTTTTCCCCTGCGCCGCTAATTGCAAGGTGCCCTGTATAATTGTAGAATATCACGTTAAACGATGTAAGCAATTACGGTTTCGAAGAAGTTGCAGCGTAGAGAAACGCCAGTGCCTGCGCTGCGATTCATCAAGTTTCAATCTTGAAGATTTTTCTCGAATGATAGATATTCCAGTACGTAGGAATTGCCCGGAGCAACCAACTAAATCATACGGCGGTGTCCTGTATCTGAGGCAAACGGGAACATTATTGTCCTGGGGCTAGATATAGAGTGCTTCAGTTTTAACGCGGCCACATCTTTTACCTCTGATCACTGGAACTGCACTTGCAATTGGAGACGAAACAGCAGTTTACGTGTAAAGGATTTAAATGAAATTGCACCTAGTAAATGTACGGAATTTAATATTCGCAATTAAACGAACAATTTACCATTTATAATTCAGATTCATTGGCCACGTTCTGCACATATGCAAACGTGAAACAGGTTCTCTTGTCTATCTGGTTACAAAGCTGCGGACACTTCTCTAGGTCGAAAATATTCTTCTTATTTTTGTCTCGACTCTGCGAATCATCGAAGGCGATTTCTTCTTCAAATAAATATGCGTAACCATTGTTTAAGTATTAGGTACTTAAGTATTAAGCAATAAAAATGCTTGATTTGTTTATCTTTTCTAATTCTCGTTAGACACAATAATTAAATTAGAATGTAATTTCTTTTTTTGTTTTTTAATGAAAATCTACTGTGTTCGCCTTCAGAAAAATTCTGGCCAGTTTATTTATAACACAATAAATGTTCAGTACATTCCATCTGCAACTCCATTCGCTGTCTCGAAGAACGTGGTATCATTGGACTTTTAATTAACTTGCTCATTAAGAGGGTAGCGCCTATCCGTTAACGAATTCATCGAGCGGCAAACATTAGAGCATCGGAAAGTTTCGCTTGGAAAGAGAGGAACAAGGGCAACGAGCTCATGAAATAGGTATTTACCGGCCTCGCCTCACATTTGCGTATAATAAGAAGGCAGGAGAAGCAACAACACGGACCACACATGACACGATTTAGTACAGTCCGCGCCAATACCCTGCCATTATGCGAAGCTAATTGCACCGTTGCACATTTAGTTTCGTCCTCGCTCATCATTTTACCTTCCCTTTTGCTTTATCTCTTGGTAAAAACGCGGTAACTTCACTCCTCGGTAAAATATACAAAATATTAAGCGATCCTGAATGTTCCCGCGGTTTCAAGCCGTTCGTTTCGACAAGAAAAAGAACATAACTTCGTTGAAATTAAATATTTTCATTGATAATAATTTCCATAATGTTGGATACATTTTCGCATTGTAAGAGCATTAATTTCGCGTATATAAAAGTACGAATTTCTAAGAGAGAAAAAATTGAAAAAAATGTCTTTCTTATCGAGAGAGACCACTATGATATCTGAGAAAATTTCGGATACAAGGAAGTCAAGGTGCATCCATTTCTCGTCGAATACAATGTATTTCATATGATACATTTTTCAATAAAATCAATAAATAAGAAGTTATCTCAGGTGACAGTTATCATCGAGTCACCCGGTGTATAATTTTAGTCCATATCTGTCTGCTTCCTTTAAGTAGACGTCACCAATTACTCAGCAATATTTCTCCCGTTTTTCCTCGACGACGAACACGAAATGTTCCCACGTCCTCGACGTGAAGTAAAATTTCCGTGATTGTTCTCCATTCAGACATCAAACGAACCGAGAAAGAAAAAAGAACCGCTCGACACGTTCCCGATGAAATTCCGTCGCGTAATTTCGAGACCACCGAGACGAGAATGAAGAAACGTACGCTAGGTTCCCTGAATCATATCCAAATTCATATTATTCGTAAATGAAGAGGGCCGAAAAAACTAAAGGCTTCGCTGCAGAGACCGCCCTATTCGAGTTTCCAAGAACACACAGGTGGTCTCTCATAATGCCTCACTACCAAGAAAAACCTTATGGCGATCATTAGTGTCCACTATCGAAGAAAAGGACAAATAATCGTAAATCGAAGTGGAGAACGTACACAGCTTGTCGTTAAGTAATCCATTAAATGCATTGCGACATGATCGTTTCCCTCGTCTATCCGACCTAGACAAAAATTGTCCCGAGCCAATCGATAAAGCTCGGCAACCACGATAATTCCTTCGTTCGATCAGTTTTTAACTCGTCGAACACTCGCTGAATCGATCATTTTTATTAACTCGACGGTGTAATAGTGTCGTGTTTGCTTTTTCCTTTACTTAATCGTATTTGTATTTCTTTAAAAAGAGAAAAGTGCACAAGTAGGGTTAAAATAAATGTAGAAAACTTCATGATTTTTACATTTTTTGTTTTCTCGATCATCTTTTAAATATCGTTCTTTCTTGTTTTTTCGAAAGATTGCAATATTTTTTTAAAGGATTACAATGCGATTAGGTTTTCGTGTGACATTTCAATTAAGTGAATAGGAGGCATTGCTTGACGAACTTTTCGTTTTAGATCTTCGATAGTATTATGCCGTGCGCCATCATTACACCTCTCGACTGTTTCTGGGAAGGCAGCAAATTGTTAGGCCCAGAGTATCCAGTGCACATACCGTAAGTATAATAAAAGTACTGTGTTTAATTTCCTTTCTTCCTTCTGCATCTGAAAATTATCAAGCGAAGTATTGTGTAATCTAGACTACTTTCTTGTCAATTTTTGCGTATTTAATTAAGGTTAGGTATGAATAGTCCCTGCTGCAATTATAGTTAATATTTGAAGCAATTCAGATCGGACAGGCAAAGCGAATTATTCCAAAATATAATTCAATTTCTTGGCTAATAGTTTTTTTCAATGATCTCAGAATTTCAATTTGAGTTGTAACTACTGAATCGTAATTAACGCGCGAAATTCAAATTGGGTCCGAACGTTTTGCCAATAACACTAGTATTCCAATAGATATCTCAACATCACAAAATTCATCTAACTTTCATAAGTCTTCAAGTGTAAATATAAATACATATTTCTACATAATACGATACTTCTCAATTCGAATTGTATTTATATCCAGCGTGACAAAATAACGCGCGAAATTCAAACGACGTAAGAACGTTTCGCTGACAGTAGCAATAATATTTGAACAAATATCCTAACATCATAAATTTTACGCTTGTTCGATCCTTTTTATATCTTATTTCATTCCTTTTCATAACTCTACAACAGTCTCCGCATAATCAATACAACGACGTAATCCACTGTAAAAACTGATTTATTCATTTTCCCGTCGATTTATTGTTTAACGACAGCGGGACACAGACGAACAAGCCCGTGCAGTGGACGAATCTCAATCCATCCGGTATGCTGGATGAGATGAAGAAACTGCAGTTTATGTTTCCCTTCAAAATTTTGGAGGACTACATGAAGAGAGCCGGGATAACGAACGGCTACCAAAGCAAGCCGTGCCTCGACCCGACGGACCCGGAGTGTCCGGAAACCGCGCCCAACAAAAAATCCCAGCAGGTAAGCCAAGCACAAGCCGGGCGCGAGCAAGTGAGCGAACAAACGCGCCTTGTCTCCAAGATTGTAGTACGAGGCGAGCTGTGTGTCGACCGATTAAGGTGAAAGTCTTCGCGTGTAATTGTTGATACACGGGTAGCACGGCGTGTTTCGTTTGGCATCGTCTTTTAATACTGACAAATTCCGGCGAAATTACGCAAAAAGAACTGCTCGTAACTGTTGCTGCAAATTGGCTTGGTAAAATGTAATTTTGCCGGCGTACTACAAATTTACTTGTAACTCCATTTTTTTTTTTTTTTTTTTTGTCATCCGATGTGTTCGCGTCGAATTTTATAATTTAGAAGAATATTTTTAAGGAAGTCTTAAATTCGATTTGTAGAATTTCCTTAGATCTTTTATTAAAATATTTTTCGCTTTCGGCAGGAATTTATGGGATGACCTAATACACTCTTTTCTGGGTACAATTGTCGCGTTCTTTTCGTACGGCTCGAAATAGCAGTAAAGATGAAATTTTGCATTAGGACAGCTGTTGGTAAGGTAAAAGAAATGCAAAATTTGATATTTAACTTTGTTCAACTTTGTTTCAAAGTTCTGTTAAAGCTGACTAATTCATCTTCGCCTCGATATAGTACACGCACTGCTGTTCATAAGTATTAGGTCATCTATTATGTTCGCACAGAAAGCCAAATTTAGTATCACATCTATATGTGTACGTAAAAATATACAGGGTAATAAATTTTTCTCGTAAGCGGTAGATTTGTGAGAAAAACAGAAGAGGACAAGGTTTCATTTGTTTTTTGGAGACAAGTTCAACGACCTACGTCAAACTCATTTTTAAACTCAATTTCGTGACAGTGTTTAATATAGCGTAATCAAATAACACTGTTAGGATCTTATTTTCATGACGTCACTTTAAATGGAAATAGTTGTACTACGAAATTGAAGGTTGAATCATTTTTTTCAGAATCTCAATAATTTTCTAATGCACCGTTTAGGTTTGCTTCACATTCGATAAGTGACCTAATACCTTATGAACGAGAGTGTACCGTTTACCATTTATTTCTTCAGGTTAGAATATAGTCAAGTTCCATTCTTTTGATACATGTACTTTCATCTTACTAATAAATTCGAGAAATAAATTTGTTCCATTTCTAACACTTTCAGTGTCTCACCTTAGGCACAGCAACCTTTCTTTTACCTTTGTACAACGAAAGACGAAACTTTTGGATTCAACACCGCGTCGAAAAATTGGTGAAACTAAAAACGAACTGCACACAGTGGTAGCCAAAACAATACTGAAGTAGAATCCGCGTCTGCAAGTGCAATAAAACCCGAACCTAACCCACCCCGGCCGAAAAATAACGGAGCGTATCGTTGCAATGTCTATGATGTCTCGGGACATCGTTCGTTCGGGGCGTTCACCTGGCTTGAGGTCTTATGACATCATCCGTGCTGAAAGTGTTGAGGAATCTGAAGATTGTACATACCAACTTTGAACTAATTTTACTTACTGAACTATTGTTCGAATTGAAAGAATTGCTGAGATTCTATAACTTAAATATTCGGAGTAACTCGATTTTCCTCTAGAAGTATGCTTTGTATATATACAGGGTGACCCAATTTTTTCTAATCAAACATTATCAGTAAGTTTTACAGGTATAAGTAAGAAAAAACTGTTATACGAACATATGTCGTTCGAATCTTCGTTAAAAAGTTATAACAAAAATACGAAATACGAAGGGAATGGTAACAAACTCGCGATTGCTATGATACAAATCAAAAGTAACACCGACAGAAGTTACATTCTACACTTTCGACGATCTCAGATCGCAACCACAGCTCGCATCAACTCATCTACTCCTATTTCGCAACATAACCTCAAATCCGTTACCATTATCGTTATAACTTTCTAATAAAGCTTCAAACGACCTACGTTTACATAACATTTTCTTCTTACCTACACCCATAGAACACACTCACAAAGTTTCGTCGAAAAGAATTTGAACACCCGGTATGTACCATTATTGCCACATTTCCGGGGTTTAAGCGACTGGACGCTTACCCCGAAGAAATGTTTAATACAGTGCTCGCCAAGGAAGCGACGTGGGACGACGATGGTGGGTTTAAAAAGAAGAAGAAGAAAAGACGAGGGATCTTCAAACATTGTTCTGTTCGCGATCGCTGATATATTCCAAGTAGCAATTTCAGTGACGAGTGTGTTACGCCACACGTCAAAGGATTGATAACGTTGTGCAGAGCGTGCAGGCAAAAAGCTTCGCCAACCACTTATTAGCACGCTTGTTCGTGCGTCAGGGGGGATCGATGTTATAACTCATAGGACTACGTGCAATTATGCCCGGTCCGTTTATTAGCTTTAATTCTGTCTTAGCCTTGTTAATAGCGGGATTTACGGCCGTGATCGATTTCCCGCGGGAGGCCTAGCCGCGCGAGACTGATGCACGTGAATAATCGTCACGCGTGCACCGACGTCGTTACGAAACACCGTGGGGAGACGTTAAATTAGAAAGCGATCGAGAAGGGATAGACAAGTGCTGAACTACTTACCGGGGTTTCTTTTTTCTTCTTTATTTTTTTTTTTTTGTGAAATACGCGTTTTTACGGGAACAGGGATACCGTGTAATTATTGGTAGCAAGGTGAACTTAGATGACTGGCGATTAAACGGTGGATTTTTCAAATTCCTCTCCAGAAGTGTGCAGAAAATTGAGGAAATGTTCGATATTGTTTGAAGTAGAAGGTTCTTTTTTTAGGAGATAAGCTGTAATTATTGATCAACCTTTTCGGCACCAGTGTTGGATTTTAGCGATATACTTACGAACAATTATGGTAAATTTGTAATGTACGTGTTAACCTATGTTTTATTCGTCACTTTTGCTTTTGTTTTTATTGAAAATACATAGGACAGCTGTCACACGAAGATACCTACTAACTCGTGTTTACCTTTGAGACCTCATTTGCAGACATTTTCCGCAATTTTTAGATACGGAAGTCCTTTTCATCCTCGTTTCTGTTACATTATCCTTTCTTCCAAGTTTAATAATTAACAAACGTATATAAACAATTTTTCTTCGTCATTTCTAAATAAAATAACGTGAATATTATTCATTCGCCACCTTGTCTCCTCAAACTGCAACGCTAAATAAATTCTAATCAGGTGTACAGAGACCTTTTTTCACTAACGTGTGAACCAAAGGAAAGGAGAACCCCCGAACGGATCCAATTCTGAACGTCGCCTCTCGTAACGAAATTCTTCACCGTCGACTCTATTCCTCGCGCAATACTCAATTCGAACTGTATTCCAAAGGAAGAACCTACTGCATCGCCCTCCCTCCTCACCGGCAAGAAAATCCACAAGAGCGTGTACTCTAAGGAAAAGGAGGTCAGCTAAAAATTCCACGCGCCTCTAGCCTGTCTACGCAGAGACAGACATCGTCGGGTCGACGAAATTGCTATCAAAATACCGTCTCGTAGCGGCGGAATTACCGAGGCCGCGACAGGACAATGTAGGGGAAGGCTGCGGACGCCTAAGATTCGTTTCATAGGATCGACGTCCGGAATAACAAGTGGCCACTTGGGATTCCGCGCCCGATGACGACCGGTTGCGTGCACGTAGCGAGTCCGGTAGGTCCTGGACAGCGACTCGTCGATTCCGCTTTGATGTCCAAGGAGTATTCCGTGGTCGGAGCCGACGACTGCAGTAATGAATATTTAATTGACCGTGTCTGGCCTGGCTGTGTATGCCCGCGGCCGCTCGTCTGCCGATCGAAATCGAAAATTTCTCATCGCGCGAAAAGTCAAAGGAGAATGCTGATTTCCTGTTTCCAACGGCACCGCTCACTTTCTGACGGGGGGTCAGCTGGGGATCGAAGGAAGTGCTCGCGCGGTATCTACGGGGGAAATCTGGCGAACCGGAAACGAAGACGTAGCAGATGTGCTATATTAGGTTTTCTTTTTAAATTAAACTTTAGGTATATACATCGTGTTTCTTCAAAAATGAAATGTTATTTAAGGGGGTATTTTGGAGACGTCTTTTTTTGGACGAGTTTTAGGATAGAAGTTTTTAGATAATGCATAAAGTAAGGGACTTGAAATTTTTCATGCACTTTTGGACATGCTTCAGGAGAATATAATGTGATTTTTATGTAATTGTCTGAATTATTGTTTGAGTTATTACATACTTCCCGCTGTGTGGCATTCTGAACGGCTGCCACGATTTAGAAAAATCGAAGATAATTCTCTTGTACATTTTACGGGGTAAATGGAGACAGCAGAAATTTGTTATATTTTTATTTCGAATGGTAAGAAATTGTGAAAAAATCCCTTTTATAGCGTTCGATGAAGGAAAATACAATTGCCAAGTAAGTTTCACTGTTTGAAATTTCAGAAATTTTAAACACGATTCCATAAAAATAAAAGAACACCTCTTCTATCGAACATTTTAACCAGTTTGTTCTGCTACACTCGCCACGAAACTTCGTCCAACTTGAACAACAAGAGACAAAAAAGATACGCCTCTTAATAATAATGTTCCTGAATAACGCGAAACCCGTCGAGTGCTCTAACCCGAGAAAAAGGAAAACCGTCCGAAACATCGAGCATTCCGCGTATTTGGCAAAACCGAATCTCTCGCGGGCCAATAATGTACCCTCGAAACGGTCAAGTGTCGATCGTAAAGTTGCGAGTGGATCGGAAGCGGGGACGAAAAGAGCACAGAACGCGGCCGGTGAATGAAACGATTCCAATGCGAGAATTGGCGAATCTGTATGAGAGTCGCGTGGGCTGCGACGTCTGAGACTACATTAAAATAATAAAATCAAGGGATGCGCGTCATTATCGAGCCACGTTGGTGGTCGGCATGCTGCACACCGGCATTACGTACGCTTTTTCGACGCCGACACATTACGCGACCGTTATCCCGTTGCCATTAAGGGGTTACAACACCCTGAGGCGGCTGGAAATAGGTAAACTTTGTGGAATTTTAACT